TCTCTCTTGCAGTTTAAAGGCATTTCCCCTCATCCTATCACTCCCTGCCCTTGTCCCAAGCCCCTCCCCAGATTTCCTGGAGCCCCTCCAGGCACTGGAAGCTGCTCTCAGGTCTCCCTGGAGCCTTCTCTTCTCCAGGCTGAACACCCCAACTCTCCCAGCCTGGCTCCAGAGCAGAGCTGCTCCAGCCCTCCCAGCATTTCTGTGGCCTCCTCTGGACTCTCTCCAACGGCTCCACATTGTTATTGTGTTGAGGACCCCAGAACTGCACCCAGGCCTGCAGGGGGGTCTCAGCAGAGCAGCCCAGAGGGGGACAATCCCCTCCTGGCCCTGCTGGTCACGCTGTTGGTGACTCAGCCCAGGACATGGTTGGTTTCTGGGCTGCAAGTTTACCCTGCAAGTGCTAATGCTGAGCTTCTCACCAGCCAACACCTCCAAGTCCATCTCCTCAGGTCTATTCTCAATTCATTAAGCCCCCCAACCCCAAACCCCCAGCCCACAAACTGATCCCCTCAAGTTGGGTGGCTTTACCATGTGGGGGTTCTGACAGGTCTGAGCCCTCTGAGAGGAGCAGCCCAGTCCTGCTGCAGGCACAGTGCTAGGGAGGCCAGTCTGGAATTAAACTAGGGTTTTAACTGAACTCCAAAATAAAAATCAATTGCTTTTCAGAGTTTTTCTTGCCAACAGATTAAAGACTAAGACTTACAGTGTTGTCAGGGTTTTTTAGTTACTAGAAACATCACATTAAACCAGTTGTAACAGTACCAGGATTGACATAACCATTAAAAAAACTACATTTGAACACATCACCAGTCCTAAAGGATTCTGCCTTCTTCCTAAAACATTTACTATTTAGCTTTTCTCCCCACAGGAGGAGGTTGGGCTGTCACCACTCCTGAATGGGAGGTGCCAAACTTGAGGCAGAAGTTCTTGGAGGGTTTTGGCTTCACTTGCAAAAAGCACTGCTGGAAAAAAGCTTGGAGTGGGTTTTTTTAGGGGGTAATATTGTAACTGCCCTACCCAGGATGGTACCTATAGATGGATAAATATGAACATTCGGATGCCTCACCCTGTGCAGAGCTTTGAGGCTTTGACCCAAGAAAAAATAGAGGTGGAAGCTGCACTGAGGCACTGCCAGCAGTCACAGCAGCTGAAAAGAGTGTGGCAAAGTAGTTAATGGTATAAAAAAAAAAAAAAAAAAGTTAGAAACTATCAGAAAGTAATGGAAATTAGAGTGAAAAAGTCTGAAAATGAGCTCATGGGCAGTGAAAAGTTTAACTGGACAAACTATTTGGTTACAGAAATGGCCAAAGGAACTACTCTACTGCCCATGGAAATTAGAGTGAAAAAGTCTGAAAATGAGCTCATGGGCAGTGAAAAGTTTAACTGGACAAACTATTTGGTTACAGAAATGGCCAAAGGAACTACTCTACTGCCCACCCACTGTCCTAACAAGAGCCATGCTCTATTTTAACATCCAAAATATTCAAAGAGCACAACGACCCTGTGGGATGTCCCTTCTGAAGGGGGCCACATCTTCAATCAAAATGGAAGAAAGTTCAAGAACTGCTGGGAAAAAGAAATAATCCATCCCTTCTCCCCTCCTCATTTCATGTGCCAGCACTGGAATCCAAAGCAGATACCAGTTTCTAGAGCAAAATCTAGTAGGGGTGGTTATAGTGTTTCAAAAAACTTTAGTAATGACCTACCTCAAGCTGTAGGTAACTGTCATCTTCAAGGATATGTGATGCTGCAGGGGCAAAACATCATATTCCTCTTCCTCAAGTTTACTAGAGGAACTCTGGACACTTGGTCTTTTGCCACAGTTGCAGTTTGACATCAATTGCAAATAAATACAGTTATGCAACCACATTATCCAACACATTTAATGGTGTTTAAAATTCCTGATTTCAGAAGCTGACTCAATTTGGTCATCTCGTCTACCAAAATAACTATTAGAATAGTAAAACCTCTTTGCAAAGAGGCTACGAAACCAGGTCAAAGGGACACAGACATATTAAGCAACTCAAGCTTGAGATTTGGGTGTTGTGGTCAAGTTTCCAGCTTGACATTCCATCCTTAGCTGTCCCTCATTAGCAAGGCTGAGACATGAGATTTAACAAAAAAACACAAGAATTGCTCAAACAAAAAGTATCAAGTTTTTAATTTACATATTCCATGGAATGCAGGTAGAGCACTCTCTTCTACACAGCAATGATCCCTTGTACTTTGCCACAGTGATTTTTATTCAAATACAAAGAGTAATGGGAAAGCCAGGCAGGTTTTCCTTGGGACAGAAGTCTGGACCTCATGAAACTTCACAGTCTACCCCCAGGGCAAGTGGCATCTCAGCATGTCCCATGTTACTGTGACAAGTGCTTCTGATGAGAGGTATCCTCATTGGTCAGGACAGGAGTGTTGGAACAGCAGCTCTGCTTGTGGCGATGATACACGGACACTGTGTTGTACTGAGAGTTGTAGGTCCTTGTTACAACCCCTCACAGTGCCCCACTGTCCCCTCAAGCCTGGGACTGGTCCCAACACCACAGTTTCACTCAGCCTTTTGTCTCACTGAGATCCGCTCGGTCAAGACAGAGATGTAGAGTTTGAGCCAGGTGTAGGTGACGCCCAGAGCACAGTACACAGAGGTCAGCAACAGGGGGGCAAAAGGGAAGTGCTGTTTCCAGGGGGTCAGAGGAAAGATAATTTCACAGAATATTTCCAAAGGCACTAGTTGGATGAGGTAGATCGTTTCAAGCCAGTTCAGGAGAGGCCTCTCTCTCCTGTCAGAGGGATTAGGGGGAAAAAAACAAAGAAAAAGTATTAAAATACAGGATGGTAAATACAAAAAAACTATTCTGCTTTTCAGCTACCACTGGTGACCAGTGCAAACAACATCTCCCACAACTTCACAGTAATACTTTAAATAATTTAGAGTTTAAGTATGAAAACACATGGTAACAGAGTACAGCGCATTTCCTTAGCAAGTGGCTTTTACATCAAGTTCCAAGATGCCCTAGAATCTAAGCAGATTTCTCAGCAGCTGCCCTGCTTCACACTAGGAGGAAATTCTTCACTGTGAGGGTGGTGAGATACTGGAACAGGTTTCCCAGAGAAGCTGTGGAAACCCCATCCCTGGAAGTGTTGAAGGGCAGGTTGGATGGGGCTTGGAGCAGCCTGGGCTGGTGGGAGGTGTCCCTGCCCACGCAGGGGGTTGGAACTAAATGGTCTTTAAGGTCCCTTCCAACCCAAACCATTCTGGGATTCTCTGATGCTTCTCACATCATTCCTTTGAACAACTGAGCAGAGACTTTTATACACACATTTTTTCCAAAGTTGGTCAGCATCCAGAGACTGGAAATGTAAGATCTATCTTAAATGCTGCCCCCTTCTCCCAAGCTTTCTGTAGGATGAACAAGCCAATCTCTCTTGTAAAGGCCATGGGTGGCAGGGTTTTGACTGCAAGTACTTTAAATAGGAATTCATGTTCTTCTGGAAGGAATTTGGGTTTTTTTGAAAGTTTGGAGTAAGAAACTTGAAAATGCTCCATCTCTAGACAGAAACTAACCTCCAACAGAGGCTTTAATTAGAACTCTTGAGACAGATCATGGAACTCTGGAATAGTAAAGGGGGAAAACAAGCAGTCTGGTTGAAAGAGGATCACCTACAAAAAGCAGGCCACTGAGGTAGTGAATACAGGTTTAGAGCATTTCCAACATCCTCTAGTACAGCCCTGATTTGCCATGAGAAGTTTGGGAAATAGGATAGTGGAGACTACAGGGGGTTATAAGGATAAGCCATCTTTGGTCAAGTGGGTAAGAGATCAACAGCCTGTGAAAATATACAGGATGATTTGCGTAATTGTATTTGTTTGCAGGAGGCTGGTTGACAAATGGCAGCTTGTAAGAGAATGTTATTAATTCATAACCTGCCCCTTCCACACATGAAAATACTAAGTGCCACAGCAAAACACACAGCAGTGTTTATGACTACCAGCACAGACAAACAATCTCCAGATAACTGGAGTGCACTAGTAAGTGCAGCAATACTGAATGAAACCCTTATAGGCTACAACATTCCAACTCTGTGCTTTAACAGCACATCAGGCAGGTGGGGATTTACAGCCTGGGGGGACTGAGTCATTGTCACAATTCCAACATAACAAGGATGTACTAAATAATCCTGACCAAAGTCTTGCCTCCTGAGAAAAGGAAAGAGGCAGCATCATTTTTGGACTGGTAAGACTTCAGTTTGATACTTCAGTGTCACTTTTCTGCACTGTTTGCCCTTTATGACAACACAGGTCCAAGTGATAGAAGAAATGGTTTGGTTCTTGGCTTTGGGAACCAAGAATTAAAGGTTCTTTAATTACCTGAATAGAGATTTCAATGCAGAGAAGCTATAAACTGTAAACAGCAGCATAAGCAGTATTTTAATTGGAAGCTCTGAAATACAAAGAACATAATGTACTTACAAAATTAATTATAAAACTCTTTTGCCCTATAAATTGCAGTATCTTTAAACTCTACTAGTCACACTTGCATTGCCCAACTTATTTTCTCCCAACTGAAGGAAATATTTTACTGCTTAAGACACCTAAAAATAAGCATAGATATTTATTAAAGCAAATGTCAAGCATTTGCAATACACTTACTTTAATTATCTATAAGCATATTGAACACATGAACACTGCAAGTAAGATTTTCCTATTAAAAAATAAACCAGAAATTCCTGGGCTGGGAGGCTTAAAAGACAAATGTGATAGGCAAAACAGTGAGATCTAGTTTAGGTTGTGTGGTAGATAAAAATTAAAAGGCAGAGGAAGTTTCTCATTTCTCCTGGCAGCAGCTTTGCTGTTGCAAATCCACAGCATCATCAGACCACAAGAGCACAAGTGTTTGGATTTGAACTCTTCCAAAAGGAAGAAAGTAATTTAAAAAATATGAGTGTTTTCACAGCTGTGATGGCCTAGGTTTTAGGTGAAGCAAAAGGGGAAGCAGAAAAGGAAGAAAGGAAGGAAGAGTTTTTGGTCACAAAGACAAATCTGTCCCTGTACATACTGATTTAACTGATGCTGCTGCATGATTTTTTAGTTTAAGCAGATTAAAGACAGCATGAAGTAGCAGTCATCAGGAAAACAGCCTGTCAGGTGTGTGGCTTCAAACTGCCTTTAACACTTTTGCTTCACACAGTGATGTCAGATGGGGAAATTTCTAGAACTGTGGCAGAATGAGGTTTAACAAGTATTGACTATGACAATTCCCCATCTCTATTTCAACTTGAGGACTACAGCTCTTCCACAGTTCGTCACACCAGTGCTTCTGTTCACTACTGGGAAAGTTTGTTTTTATGGCAACAGGCTGACACATCTTCCAGCTTTCAACATCTTACATAAAAGAATCCAAAAAGCTTCACCCACATGTCATTTCTGGAAAAAGCCCCAAAGCAGTAAGATGAAAGTACAAGGAAAAGGCAAATGCTTTTACCTGGCAGTGTGAACAGCAGTGGAAAAAGTGAGAAGTGCCCTGTGGTTGCCAGGATCAGGTAGATGCCAGCATCCTTTGCCCTCTGAACAGACAACAAGCTGAAAACAACAAGGATTTGTTGTGCTTTTGTCTTTTAGCAAAGAAACTTAATTTCAGCAAAACACTTCGCAACTCACAAGAGACAGAAGAATATTTCATAACACCTCAGTCCCCCCCAAACACTGCAGCTGTGATGAAACCTCTTGCTTCCAAACCATGTCGCTTCAGAGGGAAGAATGCAGGAATAAAATCAGCCAGGGAACCCTTCCTCAGAAAACCACACTCCCACTTGAACACACAGGTCAGAAAGGCCTTGAGTTTTCTACAAATTATCTCTCCTTTGCTAGCTGGCTGCCAACATTCTCATCCCTACTTTTTCTCCTTCCCTTTTGTTTTTCCAATGTTAATTCCCTCCCTCCCACCATTCCCACTTCAGCAGCTTAAGTAACACTAAACCTCTGAACAGGAAAAAAAACATACTGGTCAGGAGGCTTATGAACTATAGCCTCACTTCTACCCTGACAGGCATGAAGCCCTTTTGGTAGAAATGCCAAACTGTTCTTGTCAAGCAGAGTGCAGAAGGTCCCTGTCCTCAGCTGGTTCATTAACAATCTACCTAGAGCTTTAAATATGAAACAACACCCATCAAACCTTGAAATGCCCAGCAGCTAAAAGATTGCAACATTTTTACATTTGTCCCTGCCACAGTGCAGCTCTAAACTTAACTATTTAGAAAGAAAAAGAACTTGACCAACAATGGGTGCTTGCCATTGGGGAGTATGACAGCAGTGTCAAATGCTTCAAGTCAGTTATTTTTTCCTCTTCAAAAGACAAAGCCACAAGACAAACAACAAATAAGTCTTGGACTTTTTGGGTGCAAAGAACATGCCACACAAATGCAGTAATAACAGTGGGTGAACAAAAGACTCTAAGAAAGTAGCCTGGTTTTGTCCATCTTGCCACAGGAGTGAAACCTTTTATCAAACATAGTCCCGAGCTGTCACTGGGAAAAGGTGGCTTCAAGGGGAAGATACATTAACTTTTAAAAGCTGTTGGTCCACATGCAGCCTAAAGTCTGAACCCCATTCTTCCATAAGCATGGTTTTAGTTGTTTTGGTGGGTTTTTTTTCCCCCATTACTCTAACAGCAATCAAGTGCCTGACACTAAAGACACTGATTTTCTGTGCACTCAGCATTCAAAGAGACACAAAAGATTATGTAGTGGGAAGGCTTGTGTGTCAGACTCCTGAAGTGATTCCCTTTATCATCCCAACACTATAGGTTTCTGTTCATCTGTACATTAGTACAAAGCTTTGCTGTGCACCAGGGAGCTGATAAAGGAATCAGCTACTCCTAGTAAAGCTGTGCTTAAAGCTTCTGTCAGTGCAAACTATTGTCAAGTATAAGCCACAATTAGTAAACGATAAAAGAAACAGTTTAACACCACATTGGTTTCCTACTACACTACACCTGCATCAGTACATTGTATTGCTAAGGCAGACACACCTTATTCTGCCTGAAATTAATGTACTTGACGTGCACTAAAACCGTACAGCCTAAGGCATCCTATAAACACGTTCATTTTCCAAAACATACTGAAAACAAAGTGCTCCTCATTGAGGATTCCTCAATGAGTGGCTGCAGGTTGAGTTTGGCCAACTGCTACAGGTGAAAATTCACTTACCTTAGAGGCAGAATGGCAAGGAGGATTGCTTTCTCATGCACATGCCAGCCGAACATGAAGGAGCTCAACGCGCAGAGAACAAGGCACTGAAGGAAGCCCCGGGGCCCTTGAGGTTTAAACCAAAGACAGAAAACAGAGGGCTAGAAACAACAGGCAGAAACAGGACTTCAGTGAGAAGCTTGGCAATCCTGAACACAAGCCACTGCCCAATGAGATTTTTTTCAGTGTTAATAAACAGCACTGCACCCAAGTTGTGCTTCACAGGGCATTACAGGGCACTGGAGAAACTGTATCTACCTGGATGTGTGAGTAGAGCCTTGAGGACTTCATCAGTACAACAGGAGGGGAAAAGCAGCCATAAAAGACTACAGCCAACTCCCTGGTACTTGTTTTGCAAGAACTGTTTATGAATCTAAGCCACTAACCTCATTTAATCAACATTATTACATAAACGTGTTGAAACAAAGACTTCCAGTTAAAGGCCAGTTGCTCACTGGAGTGAAAAAAGACTCTCCAACCAGGTGATTACTTATGGAACCTTCACATCTTTGCTTGCCACATGAAGAACAGGCTGACCTGTAGCTGATGCTGTCAGGAACACTGTAAGCTGCCCAGGCACTTCCATCATTATCTCTCCTCACATCCCAGTTTAACTACCTTCTATCAGAAAAAGTTACTTTCAGCTTAGAGTGGTTTTGATCCAAGATTGCTTTGAATGTTTTATTAACTGTTCTAGAGCTGAAGAGGCCATAATTTTAGCCATAATTTAAAAAAAGTAATATTGTATATAAAAAAAGATACTGATTCCACATTTATCCTAAGAATTCTTATTTTTTAAAAGACTTATTTGTTGCATTAGAATTAAAATTAATATTAAGATAATGATAATCGAATAAAACCTACTAGGGACAAAATACATCAAGGTAAAAAAGAGTATTAATTTTTCTTACCAATATAGATATGAAAGTACAGATTAATGTTGCCAGAGGAGTCACAGAAGGGAGAACAGTATGCTGGAATTCTTGAACCAGCCCTCCTGTCATGGAGGCTTTTGGAATTTTTGTGGGATCGAGGAAGTTACACTTTAAACCTGAAAATAAGAGATAAAAAAAAACAAACCCAAATTGAGGAATGTTAATGAAGAAATGATGCAGCTGAACTAAGTACATATCCAAGTCTTTTTTTTAAAGGACAGAGAGAGGAATGATTGGTTTCTGGCCTACTGCTGGGAATTTATGCACTGGATTATACAGACAATCAAGTGATTTGAGGTCATCTGAAAATGTAATTTACTACTCACATATTTCAAAGGAGGAAGAAAGACTAAAATCCAGAGAGCTCTACCTGCAAACAGCACCCAAATAGCAAGATTAACATACTGTACCCAAAATTGTTAGTGCTTTATCCATGGCATTGTACAGAGCCCAGAAGTTAGGAGCCCAATAGGCATGGCAGAGGCCTCGCTTGAAAGGGAAAAGCCGGGAAATGACTTGAGGCAACTGACCCTTGGGAAAGAAAAAAGAAGAAAGAAATTGTCTATTCAGCTGTGACATGGTTGATACTTTTATAACACATTTTTTTAACAGTTCAAGAGAATAAGAGGTGAAAAAGGGGTTATTACCAACACTATGAAGGGGCCCAATGAAAGAGCAGAAACAAGACAGACAATCAATCCCAGAAGAGTTACGTGAAGGAAGCTGAAACTTCTCCACTTCAGGGATCCATCTACAAGAAACAAACAGATGATGAACACAGTTACTGCAGTAAGTGGAGAGGGAGATGAAGCATTCCACACCCACACTGAGTTGCTAGCACCTATCTGAAAGGATAAAGCAGCATAAAGCCTCTGATGTCAATACATTTCATTGCTTTCTTCAACAGTCAGTTTGCATTTACTTTTTCCACACTGCAGCTCCTCCATCATACAACCTTTTGGTATTTTCCTTTTTCAAGAGAAGTGCCTTCTCTGTTCATGTGAGGAATAGCACATGTTTTTCAGTGCTAAGACAAAGGAGGACTTTGGAACAGCTCCTGGTGCTATCTAACCAGAATAATTCTTGTGGCTTCAAAATGGCACCTGCAGTTTGCTCATGTTGGTTTTATCTTAAAAAAGATAATCCTAGAAACATGAATTTTACATAAATAAATTTCAAACATCTTTAAAGATCACACCAACTGAGCCACCCAAGCAGCTTTTTTGCTTGACCCCCAGCCATTTTGTTCTGATGGTACATGCATGTCTTGTGTCTTTCCCAGGCCTCACTAATTAACACAATCCCCCAAAAATGAGCAAGGAAAAACCCATCTTACCTGCATTATTTGCAGTAAAACAATAGGAACGCAGCAGGTAAATGCCATATGCTGGGGCAACATAAATGTAGATGTGTTTGAAATGCAGCAGAACAGCAAAAAGAAGAGCACCCTCCAAGTATCTTTTCTAAAGGAAAAACAAAACCAAGCCAAAGCTTTTTCCACTTGTTCTCCCTTCGCACCAACTTTTATTGGTCCTCTGTTTTACTACTAAGGTGACAGGACATTTATCATAGGTATAAAAACAAACTAGTATTTACTTCAAATTACAAACTCAGCTTCAGAGGTACTTTTCCTAAGGACCGGTGACTTGGAAGAAGATGGCAGGAAAACATGCCATGTTGCTGAGGTGTAACAGAATTTAGTTTTCTTGCAGGAAATTGCAATGATGCAGCATAGGCAAACAATTATGGTTAGTTTCAAGTCCTCCTCTTCCCCCTAACTAAACAAATAACTAAGACAGTCAGCTTAGCAGCCCTCAACTTTGAGCTGCTCCCAACACCTTTAATCTGAGGAGCTCAATGGAGCTAATTAATGCACCTAAAATACACAGGATGACAAACAGGAAAGAGTCACTCGAGTTACCTGACAAAGTCGGGCAACAGAAAGAAGCATCAGCCCAAATAGAAAGCCATTGTACTGAAAGTGAATATCTGAACTTGAGTCAAGAAAGATGTACAGCAAGCTTTCTTTACTGCTATCAGTCTTGTGGGGAAGGCTCTTAAGTTACAAACAACAAATTCAAGTTAAAATGGAACTTAAATCAAGAAAGTAACTTTAAATTCAGTCCACGTAGGCACAAAGTCATTACTTAACCATACCTATAAGCATGGAAACAAAAATCTACTAATACTAGTAATTATTTTGATGAAACAAAACATGACAATCTGACTGCATATGTATCATGTAAACAGTAGCTGCAGGGCCCACAGGAAAGATGGAGAAGGACTTCATACAAAGGCTTGGAGTGATAGGACGAGGGGGAATGGTTTCAGACTGAAAGAGGGGAGATTGAGATTAGACATTGAGAAGAAATTCTTTCCTGTGAGGGTGGTGAGACATTGGCCCAGGTTGCCTAGGGAAGCTGTGGCTGCCCCATCTCTGGAAGTGTTCAAGACCAAGTTGGATGGGGCTTGGAGCAACCAGGTCTAGTGGGAGGTGATGTTTTCCCCTTCTGTTCCCTCCTCAGCTGGATCAATGTGCATTATTGAGACCAACTCAGGATAAATGGACTTCCCAGACAGGTTTTCTTCCTCATTAAAAATAACCTTGCTAATTCTCATGTAACGTTAACCAACTAAATACTGCCTGAACATAAAGCACTTGTAGGGATTTTAATTGCCATGGGACAAAGCTTGAACCACAGCCAGGAATAAAGAGGCTCTCTGCTGTCACTCCTGTAGGCAGGTGGAGGAGGAGCAGCCAGCAGGTACAGACATGTTGCTGCCAAACTGCTCCTCCTGCAGCTCTGGCAAATCAGACCAAAACCTGAAAAATTTCAATTTTTCCAAATTATAATTCTAATGAAAACACGGAAGTTATTCATCTCACCCCAGGAACACAAACATTAGCATTACTTGCTGTGATAGGAATAATAATATTCATGGGTTTGCACCACCTCGTGTAACTGATTAAAAACAAAAACCCCACAAACAACCCACAACCGTTTAAAAGGATACGATCCACAATTAACAACCCAAAATTCCACAAGAGCAGGACAGCAAGAATAAACGTTGGTTTTTCCAGGATATCCTTTGCAGCTCGTTTCCCATTTACACATCTGCAGCATCTGAAGGAGTGGAGAAGACACAGAAGACTTAACTGAAACGGCCAACAGAAACGTTGTTGCTTTTAAGAGCTGAGAAGTGCACTGAGAGTGGAAGGCAATGGAAACATTCTTGCTAAATTCAGCAAGAGAAGAGTGTAATTAACAAAGTTTAGTAAAAGAAAGGATTTTAAATCTCAGTAGCTGTAACATGTCCCACATGCAGAAGCTTATGTTAAGTAACTTCCTATTAAGGTCTAGTCTTACATTCAATAATAACTGTAAAGTTCTCATAACCTGTTTGCTGTTAACTTCTCATGAACACACCATGTGCTGCTACATCTGGAGACAACAATGCGTTTAAGGTCCTCAGCTGGACATGAGCCTCTTCCTGGCTACCCCTCAAAATTATGAGCTATCTCTACTGCTTAAAAATATCTAAGTACTTCTCAGTTTTAATCCATATGGCCTATATTATTTTTAAGGTTTGATCAGGTTAAAAAGCTGTGCATACTTTGTGTTGGATTACTATTAGTAGAGCCATGTAAGAAAGCCAGCTCATTCCCAAATATTTGAGTCAAAACTATAAAAGGAAAAGGTCACAGTGCAGAGCCAGCCCATGGCAAATAAAGAAAGTAAATAAGGAGCTCAGCTAGTGCTCCAGTGCAACAGGGAACTTTCTACCCAGATGGTGAACAAGAGGAAAGACTGTTAGAGTCAAGGCACTAAGGTAGGCAACATAATTCTCAAAACGTCTCTCCCCCTCTACTCTTTTAGGTGCAAGACGAAGACTTCTTCACAAAGTCAGAGCAGATTGAAAACAGCCAATCTTAATATTTTTAAATTAGATTTGGACTAATCAGTTTATCACCAAGGTTGCCGAGGGAGGTCCTGGAATCCACATCCCAGGCAGTATTCAGGTTGGATGGGGCTCTAAGCAACCTGATTGAGTGGGGGGTGTCCCTGTCCATGGCAGGGGGGTTGGAACTAGATGATCTTTAAGGTCCCTTCCAACCCAAACCATTCTAGGATTGTATGATTCAAAAACACTGGAGTGACTTTGCATATATGATAATACTGGCACTTTGTCACAGCTTCCTTTATGCTTCTAGTCCAGATGAACCAAGTAACAACAAAAGTACTAGGAAGAAAGAGCTGGGTGCACCCAAGCTGTCCTGCAACTCCTACAAAAAATAAATCCAGCAATATAAAAAAAACCCACCTATAATATGTGAAACAGTAGCTAATGTCTGAATGTGTACAGTTCTGATCCCACGTACATCAACAGCATCTCCAAGAACAACAAAATCCTGCATTTAGCAGCGTGTTCCAAATCCCTCCTTGAATAGGTTAAAACAACTTTGATATTCCATACAAGCTTGTTTGTACAAGTAATACTTTGTTGCTACTGTAGAAAAACTCCACATATTACTTGACTACTTAATGTCCCCAGAATTGGAACACAAAGACTTACTCACGAACTGCATATATGAAAAGGATATCTGTAAAGATGACCGAGAATCTTTGGAAGATGATGGCTGAGTCACTGGTGTAATTGAGGTTTTTGATGACCAACATCTTGGGGTCAAAGTACTTGGCAACATGTGAAAGTACATACTCAAACCAAGCAAAAAATGGGGGATAATCCAGGGTCCATTCTGAAGTCGCCTACAGACAAAATGAGATGAAATAATTTAACACAATCCATGCTGTCCACAGTCCTGCACATGCAGTTCATCACAGCAGATCAGTTTATATATTTTATCTCAGTAGCCTCTACTTAATAGAAACTACTGCACAATCAAGTAGCTGAACATGATTTGAGTTGGACATTTCTTGATTGCTAGAAGAAGATTAAAGAACATGTTGTGTGTCTGCACCTAACCAACAAATAATGGTCTGTTCTTTAAAACATTAACTTACAGTAATAGGACCAATATTAAAATATCAGTAAAATAGCTCACAGGGAGTATTTGTCTACACAAGAGGAATCATCAGCCCAATCAGCATTGTTACAGTCACAAAATTACTTTTACCCATTAGTCAACAAGTCTTAATTCTAATAAGACCTTTTCAAGACCAAATAGCACTATTTGATCTTCTCCCACAAGGACAATTATTATGCCCTGGCCAGTGATTAACTCCTTGGCTGTGGGAATAGGAGACAAGGAAGAAGGAACAGAGGAGGTTGGGATGGGATATATTTCTCAAGAAGCCTGTTCCCAAATGCTCACATTATGCTGTTAAAGCATCCCATGTTTTGGCACTAGGATTGTGCTGGCATCACAGAAATTGGTTTTCCAGTATTGGATCAGCCTGTCAGAAAGTTCTGACCCACACAAATCATTTACTCCTGGATACACAGTTCCCAAAAGTACTAGAGACATTTATGCCAGAACTCCAGACCTGTAAGACAGATTAAAAACCATGTAGACTGAGTCTATCACCAACTTCAAGGTGATTAATCTAGATTTAAATCTATTTGAGCAATTTAAGACTACCATGCCACTTGCTCCTGTGTTAGAGCCTTTCTACCAACTGATGTCCCTTAGCTGTCTTTTTCATTTTGGCTTCATAACCACTAGCAGCTGCCCCAGACAATTTTCATGTTATGATGAAAAGCTACGCAAGGACAACAAATGGGGGCAAGTATGTTTCTGAACAACTGCTATACAGCTGCTGACCACCAGTACCCATTTTCTGCAAATAAAGGGCTTTCTCCTGCAGCATCCACACAAGCTGACATCCCCAAAAAGCCTGCTAGTTACATAAAGCTAAAAAAAGACCAAATATGTACTTACTTCATAGTACCACTGAGAGAGGGGTAAGTTGTGAGTGATGGCAAGCCAATTCCTGTGTACTTCAAAATCTGTGGAGTAACTACAGAAGGTTTCTGTTAAGACTCACACACTTATAGGAGAAGGATTTCTGAGCACAACACCACAGGCAGATAAATAAGTCTATGCTGATCAGCTCTAGTGCAACAAACTGGATCAAGGAACTCAAACAGTAACAAAAACGCTGCATGAATTTTATGCCAAGAACACACACAGATTTACTTGCAGCTCAGCCTTTTCTGACAACGAATGCCAAAATTCCAGGTTCTAACTGACTTACTCATCGCTAAGGAGAAAAGCTACGGCGTCCTTTCCAAATTAAAAGGCATTCACGTTTCACTGCATTTAAAAGCCAAGCAGAATGGGCTGTAAGCGCCTTCAGGCACGAAAGCAAAGCAGTTTGAGAGGCCGAGAGGCAGAGGAAACTGCACCACACGAGCAGCTGAAGGAAATAAAGCCCCTCAGGCCACCATGGACCCCTCAGGCCACCAAGAGCCCCTCAGGCCACCAAGAGCCCCTCAGGCCACCATGGACCCCTCAGGCCGTCAGGGACCCCTCAGGCCACCAAGAGCCCCTCAGGCCACCAAGAGCCCCTCAGGCCACCATGGACCCCTCAGGCCGTCAGGGACCCCTCAGGCCACCAAGAGCCCCTCAGGCC